CCAACCCCGTGGCCCCAGCCATCTGTATGCAAATAAACACGTGCATGTAGGGCATGCATGCGTATGTAAATAACAATTTCACTACATGTTGCGTATCATCACGAATGTCTCATGAACAATAATTCTAGGGCCATAATTCGCTATTCACGCTAAACCGTTAAGCAGTAAAAGCGTTTAAAGCATCCCATATGGACAATTTTAGGGCTGCAACAACTAATCGACATAATCGATTACTGAAAAAGTTGTCAACTTTTTCAATCATCGATTAATCGGCTTCCGATTGGTTGACCCTGTTCACAGCTCCACACACACTGCGCGCCACACCTCCTCCCCACCTCACGCTCATCAAATCCCAGCAATAATACATTATACAGCGCAATGCGGAATACCACCAGCTATAGAGGAGTAAAACAAATCCCCGCAATAATACATTATACAGTGGTGCAATGCCGAATACCACTAGCTATAGAGGACTACAAAACCCAGCAATAGTACATTATACAGCGCAATGCAGAATACCACCAGCTGTAGAGGACTACAGAACCCAGCAATAGTACATTATAGCTGGCGGTATTCTGCATTGTGCTGTATAATGTACTATTGCTGGGTTTTGTAGTCCTCTATAGCCGGTGCCATTCTGCATTCATTGCTGTGTAATTTTACACTTTTCATTTCACTATATTGCACACCACACTTTTTTTTTCTTTTTTACTTCCACCGCTCCAAGCTTGCTCCTGTGATGGACTGCAATCTCAATACAAACTAGTAGTCCCATCACTGGAGCCATTTTTTTACATTTATTTTATTATCCGATTAACCGAATTTAATAATCGGCTAACTAATCGATTTTGAAAATAATCGTTAGCTGCAGCTCGAGACAATTTTGAGTACCATAGTTTCTCACCATTGCCCAGGCGTGCACAATTTTAACTCTTGAAATGTTTGGTATCTATTTGGGTATTATTTGGTATTTGTGTGCACTAAAATTCATTTGTGTATTTTTTTGTTTCAAAAAATATCGATTTGATACACATTTGTGCAAATATCATGTGAGATATAAATTCAGCTATAATTTTTAAATTCTACAGGGCCTATGCTTTTAGAAAATATATACAATATAATATAAAAGTAATTTTCTATATAAAAATTTTTTTTTTGAAAAAGGAAATACAAAAGGTCCTAATCAAAGAGTGAGAAGCCAACAGCCTCTGAAACAGAATAGAATGGGCAGACATCTGACCCTAGATAGTGCTAAGAGCCAGCTTCAAGAAGGAGAGGATCCACCCCACAGAGTAACTCCTAGGGTGGAAGCTCCGAGACTCATACCAAGTTGAGCATGCCTTCCACTTCCAAGGATAGACCTTGTGAGAAACAGACCTACTAGCTTTAAGAACTGTGGGAATCACAGATGCCCCAGTCTCTCAAAACCTGGGCCTCAGCAGCCATGCCTTTAATGCGAGTGAGTGTGAAACAGGATCATAGGTTGGTCCTTCAGGCACAAGAGCTCCACAATATGGCATAGACCAAGGAGTCTTACCAGGTAAATTTAACACATCTTTCTCAGCAATCAGGAACAATGAGATCCCGGAAAGGGGAGACTGTGGTGTTCAGTCACAACTCTTCTATTCACAGAATTTTATCACTTGTCACGCTCCTATCATTTGTGTCCTCTAGTCGGAGGTGTAAGTCTCAGCCCTGGACGTTTGAGGCTTTCTATACTGTACGGGGTGAATGAAAGTAAGAGTTTTACTGAATGCTATAGCTTAGACACGGCACACCTTTAAGTTAAGGTTTAAGGCTCAAGGTAGGAGGCCAGGCTTTAGGTAACATGAAGGTGGCAGTGAGCAGGAACGGATCTCTCTTCAAGCAGGAGCGGCAGTGGGAAAATGCTTTCACAATACTGTATGGTGAGCAAAAAAAGTAGTACCATCTTTCGGCTGAAATTGCAGTGCATGCCTGTTTTCTCTCCTCCCCTCTGGGCACTGCCCTTTGTCCCCTCTGACGCAGCGCAGAGTTCAACGGGGACGGGAGAAACTTTCAGGCAGCCAAGCGGGGCGGGAAGGAGAGCGCTGTGAGCCACGATGTTACAGGAGGCGGAGCTCCCCTCTTGCACCACCCCGCTCAGCCTCGTGACAGATCAGGATGGAGAGCAGTGTATGGGCAGAGAGAGCTCTAAGCGGCAATGTCACAGAAAGCTGAGCTCTCGTCATGCACAGCCCCGCCCTACTGTGACAGATCAGGATATAGAGCGTTGTGGGGGCGAAGACAACTGTCACAGGAGGCCAAGTCGGCAGTGCAAGGGAGGAGTCAGCTGTCAAAATGGACCGAGCTTTACTCCCCGCACCGCCAACTTAGCCTCCTGTGACAGCGAGTCAGGATAGAGAGCGGGTAATAGCAGTCAGAGATCAGCTGATCGCTGACTGCTTGTAAATAATTGAGGACATAGTATGTTTACCGTGTTCCCAACTACGAAATCAACAGGAAGTGCTCTACATCAGTTATGAATGAACAGGAGCACTAAGTATAGAGGATTCCTGTTCATTCATAACAAGGGCTGCAGAAAAAGAGATTGTGTCCTCAATCTCTTTTTCTAATTTAAAGGGGAAATATCAGAGGTCTATTAAGACCCGTGATATTTCCCTGAGCCCCTGACAGTAAAGTTAAAAAGTAAAAATATTTATGAAAAAATAAAAAAAAGGAGTCTTGGCAAAAAATATAAAATAAAATACTGACAAAAAAAAAAGTTAAAAAATGATTTTAACTACAAATGAGCACTGATATCTTGTACACCGCAGTAGCCGAGTACCCTACCTATATAACAGTAAAATTACACAAAAGTACACTAATCTCTAAAGAAAAAAAAAAATAAGTACATTTCACCTCAATAGCGACATTGTCTTCCTTATTTTTATAGAGCTGAAGTTCTTCTAAACGCTTTTTGTCTTCAGCTGAAAGAACAGAGAATATTTCCTCTGATGGATCCTATAAAGAAACAGCATAGAATCAAAATATAAAACATGGTTAATGAACAATTATTAAAAAGCATTATATGTATATTTACCTCATCATCTGATGGGACTGACAAGTCATTCAGGTATATGATGTTACCATCCTTCCCTATTTCATGGACAACAAAGTCGGAATACCTAATAAGAAAAGAAAATTCAATTTAGAAAAAAATATACTTTGTGGATTTTAGAGTAATTTTTGCTGTTTTAACAGTTTTAAATGAATTATGTGTGTAATTTCTTCTAACAGTTCACCTATTGCGAATAAACACTTAGCTTCCCCACTTAAGAAAGAGGTCAAAGAAAACATGTCAAAGGAAAAAATGAATGTAACTGCCCTTAGAGTTTCGCATTAAAGCAATGTTCTCTGGACTGCATTAGCAGTTCAGTGACTGACTTAGTGAAACTGTGACAAAAAAAAAAAAACACCTAACACTGTACTTCCTAACATCATAAGATCCCCCGAAGTATTTCCCTATCTTTAGAAGCACGTTGTTCCCTGTGCGCCTAGAAAGTCCTCTGAACCTGGATGAACACTTCTAGGAATGCTCCACTTTGTGTAGACACAGAGCTTTGTCATGCATGCTTCCATTCCTGCAGACAGCAGAAAGCCTTGAGGACAGAACAGAGGAAACTCAACGGGACCCAAGATAGAGGAGGGAGCATGTGTCAGTGTTCAGATTCAGAGAGAATTCAAGATTCCTAGAAGAGAGCATCTGGGTTCAAGGGGGAGTCATTTCCAAACAAAGGAACTATAATTACCATGCAGTGCAGTAGTGTTAGTTTGTTAGCTTTTCGGCACCACTCAATTCATAAAACATTTTGGGTTTTCAAAAGAGAAAGCACAGCAGAAACTGTTTACTTTCAGACTCCAGCACTCTCTGTGAAAGTTTGTCTGGAACACACCAGGAGGAAAGACGAAAAAACCATTCTGACCCTAAGCTCGGTAAACAAGCATACAGTATATAGCTTGGAAATTTAGTGAAAATGTGCATAAGGCTCAACATGAAAAAAGAAAAAAATTATATATATATATATATATATTAATATTCTTGATAAGCCATGACATTATGACCACTGAGAGGTGAAGTGAACAACATTGATAAACATTGTTTCCCTGAAGTTGATGTGCCCATGTTGGCCAATAGGCACGTGAGCATCAGAATTAGTGGAGTCCATGCCTTGATGGGTCAGGACTGGTTTCATGGCAAAAGAGGGACATACTCAATATTAGGCGGGTGGTCATAATGTTATGGCTGATCGGTGTGTGTGTATATATGTAAAATAAACTGCAGACATTTTTTGACCC